GTCAACTTCTTGCCTGCATCCGTTTTTATTTTATTTTTCTTGAGCACTTACTATAGGGTCTGAAGGCAGGAAGTAGAATACAAAACATATCAGGAAGCCATTGCCTGTTAGACTTGTTTGAGGAATTAAGAACAAAGACAGTAGACAGATGTGGTGAGAAAAGGAACCAGATCTTGAATCAAGGTCTGAGAAACGAAAGGCATGGTATTTGGAAGGAAGTGCAACTAGTTCTAGCTTTTAGCTCAAAGGTAAAAGAGAGGTCAAGTCACACAAAGCCTCTATGTCATGCTAAGGAGCTTGAATTTATTCTATGAATGGGCCATCATTTAAAAGCATTAAGCAGGAGTGTGGCATGACAAGATATGTATTTTATGTAATTCATTCTGTCTTTTCCTTCCTAGTACTATATTGAATCATATGAAGTTGCTATTCTACAGATGGAAAATGATCGAATATTGATGACCTCATTAGGGGCCAACTAACGCTTTGAATTCAAAATTGTATTTTTAATTGTGAGTATATTTATTCAGCATCTCTCTCTACAGCTAGATGTAGATCTTGGAGCCAGAAGACTGGCTCATATCTCAGCTCTTCTAGCTGCATGACCCTGGATAAGCTACTTAACCTCTCAAACTTTCAGTCTCCTTATTTCTAAAATAGAACTACACTCCAGAGAGTTATTAGGAAGATTAAATGAGTTAACAAATATCAATGTTTGGAAACGTGTCTTGCACATAGTCATTGTCATATAATGTTTGCTATTTTAAATATCATTATCAGTTATAGCTTTTGTCACCATTGATATCATCATCATTGCCATGACTGCCTAAGAGCCTGTTAAAGGTGAAGGATGAAAAAAATAATACTAGTAATAGAGCCGGAAATGAAAGCAACAGTTTTCTTTGCCAGTTCTCTCAGTTAACCCAACCATTTACCAACACACATGTGCATATGCAAACACACACAATTATTTATGTAGATGCATATGTATATAAATCTATATACATAATCTTTTCATATCTACATCAATCTACATAGATATATATGCAGATAGATATATGTGTATTTATGTATGTATCTATTTAAATATAAGTCCATTTTACAGAAGACATTAAGTTGCCTAAAGTTACATGGTTTATAACCAGCAGAGATTGAATGTGAACCAGATATTTCTATATTTTTACAAATTTTGAAAACAGTTCCATGGTTGGTCTCTGAATGACAATGTGTATAAGAGACTATTTTCAAAAATGGAAAAATAAGTAGTGTGGTATCTTGAAAATAACATAGGACTTAGAGCAAAGTGCCCTGGGTCCCTCCCTGGGTTCTGCTGATAGCTGAATATGTCATCTTGGGCAAAAAACTCATTTTTCTTGAGGCTCCAATTTCCTCTTGCAGAATGAGGGGTTTAAAGCAGATAATCTCTAAGGTTCTTGCTGGCTCTAGAAAGAAACTATGTGCTTTTGAAAGACATTGTTTCTAAGATGATGAAAAATGTTTAGCATTCCAAATGTTCAGAATGAAAACTGACCTCCTCCTATTGAGTAATAAAATAGCCTCGGCCTCCTCATCTTTCTGATCTTAGCTTAGAATCCCTTTAGCCTTCCCTGGAGCCTGTTCTTGATAGCACAAACATTTTTATTTGATAGCACATGTCATGGTTTGCAATTGCAAAATGATTTATGTGGTTATATTGTAAATTCCAAGAAGGCAGAGACCATCCCTGTGGGCTCATGGTGGAATCACTAACTAGTGCCTCATAGGGGTTAGACATGGAAAATGTTCTTCAGCAACATTCATTGACTAAATGGATTCTAAAAGAGGCTCCCTGCTTCCAGGTTTTCAGTACTGGATGATTTAGAGCTAACTTTGGTTTTTGCCTTTCAGAAAGATGAATCTGGTAATGAACATTTCAGGCCACAGGAAGAATATGATTTACTTATTTTCTCTTAGCTCCTAGGATGCCAGAGAAGCCAGCAACGGTGCTACCTCCTGCAACTACAGATAGTAGACATCTTGGAGGTCCAAAACCACTTTTCTTAATTGCTACCAGAGTCCTAGGCCAGAGGCCCGATTCTGGGGGTATCAAAAGACCAGATGTGGTCACCTGCCACCTCGAGAGACCAATCAAAGAGATGAATGGTGGTAAAGCAGGAAAGGAATTTGTCCAGTTTGGCCATAGAGAGAAGGACAGGGGAACTAGAATCTAGGCCTTGTCCTCGGGGTTCTGGTGGGAACTTCAGGATTACACAAGGAAGAATTAGGGAAGGGTACAAGAAGCAGTCTTGGTCTAACTGTGGTCTGGCTAATCATTATCTCAGGTCTGGTTCTATGCAGTCTTGGGTGATCATGGGAAATCATTTTACTTCTTGAGAGGTAGTTCAGTTCCTGTCAAGAGATGATTGTTCCTATTTAGGGGGTTGCTTTGGTTCCTATCACAGGGAGGTAAGCCCATAGGCTTTGCTGGAATTTGAGACAAACTGGCAAGGACTCAGAGAGTGAGCAGGCCAGAGGAGCAGAATGGAGTCATTCCTAATAATGACAGGGTCCTCCTTCAGGGGCAGCAAAGGAAAATTCTCTTGGAAGCAAATACTGAAGACGACAAGATGAACATTTATATTGGAGCAACTCTGATTTAGATCTTGTATGTCAGAAAGTGTTAAGCTGAGGTTTACTAAGTTAAGAGAAAGAATGGAAAAGCTAATCCTTTTATGTGTGGTATTCTTGGCTGCAACTGGCAGCAGAAGGCCTCTGATCTCTCTACTGATGCTCTCATGACAGGCCCACCCAACCTCCCACATTTTATGGACTGCTGCGCCTTTCAGCCTGGAATGCGCTACTGGTGGCAGCCAAAGCTATTTGGGTAACTAGGGGCAGCAGGTTTGTGAATTGAGCTTCCCCCCACTCCCCCACCTCTCCAGCTTATCCCCTGGGATGCAAGATCCTAGAGCTGTAGAATGGAGGCTGGGGCACACAGTGGCTGAGGCTGATGACGGTGGCTTGTTGGCAGGAAACAGTTCAGCCTAAGGACCACACGGAAGGCAGACATGCTGACGGCAGCTTCCAGCAAAGAAAATGAGATTTTCTGCCTGCATTTGGTGGGCTAGGATGGGAGGAGTCAGGGAGGGCGTGTTGGGGAGAGCGCCAAGCTGTTGATGAGAGTGTGGGAAGATTCAAGGGGAGGGAGAAACAAGAGGAGGCACTGTGCCAACTCAGAGGCAGTTGGGTTGATCTCTCCTCCCTTTACTGCCTAAGTGAGAAATCCTGCTGGGTGGGTGGGAGCAGGGCCAAGAAAAGAGAGATTCTGCTGGGTGAACACGGATGGTCAGACCAGGCAAGGATCTGCTAGCTGGGATCAGAGTCATGGGAGGAAGGAGAATTTAAGAGAAATGAGAAGAGGGACAATGAGAATAAAAGAGAGTAAAATAATGATACAAGAAGAAATGTCCCATAAGAAGAACGAATAAAGGAAGAGAACATATTGAATAGAGAGAGGACCACGTTTCTGTGCTGCAGAGCCGGCTACCTACCAAATGCCAGAATGAAATAATATTCACATGAACTAGTAGTGAGCAGCCGAACGACACTGAGAAAACCAAACCTACTGCTCCCACATTTCCCTGGTGAGTGTCATTTCCATGGGAATACGGTTTTCCAAAACAAAAAATCATGGAAAATCTAAGTTATTTTAAAAAAACAACATTGCTTTTTAGGTAAAAAACAGAATAAATAAAATACTGTCTAACACGGAAAAACCACAGGCTGCTTTTAAATATTAAATACTTCCTAAAATATAACACAGAGCGTGAGAATCATTAAGAATGCCTCTCTAATAAAATAAGAAGACGTTTTTGTAAGAAACTTTAGAAAAGGAAAATTTACAAACGTTGACAATGTAAATTCCGTTTTGAAATCACAGCATTTTTGGAACTTTTTTTTTTTCCATACAAGGGATTGAACCCAGAGGCTCTTAACCACTGAGCCACATTCCTAGCCTGTTTTTTATTTTTCATTTTGAATTATGAGACAGGGTCTTGCCAAGTTGCTGAGAGCCTCATTAAGTTGCTGAGGCTGACTTTGAACTTGAGATACTCCTGCCTCAGCCTCCAAAGCTGCTGGAATTACAGGCATGCGCGACTGTGCCCAGCCTTTTGGAACTTTCTGATGCCCTTTTGGGGAGGCTTTCAATGAGTCAAAAGATCAAGCAAATGTTGCATTTTTCATGACAATTTAGCAAGGTATATTCAGATCAGGGAATGGAATCCCACTGGTTGCAATCTCATACACAGACTGAGACATATTTTGGTGTAGGTTCCTATGGAACAGATTTGGCTAGTAGATTAATGACAAAAGACCTCAAATCTTCCCCCTTCCAATTCTGAACCTATCCTTGCAGAGGGCTTCCTCTTGATATCCTGCCATGGCCATGTGAGCAAGCCTGGGCTAGCCTGATGGGGTATGAAAGGCCTCATGGAGGATAGCCTCCTTGTCCCAGTCCAGACCACTTCAGACCAGTCCTACAGTCAGCTGACTGCTGGCATTGAAGCCAGCTGAGATCTGGAAGGCAGACTACTCTAGTCATAGCTGAGGGCAAAAGCATGATTCATAGTAGCTAAAACCAAAAGAGCTAAAAGAGCTGCCCAAATGATCCGCACTCATGAGCAATAGATACATTATTTTGGCAGGCGCAGTGGTATACACCTATAATCTCAGTGGCTCAGGAGGCTGAGGCAGGAGGATCACAAGTTCAAAGCCAGCATCAGCAATTAGTCAAGGCCCTCAGCAACTTAGCAAGGCCTTGTTTGAACATAAAAAAAAAAAAGAGCTGGGGATGTGGCTCAATGGTTAAGCACCCCTGGGTTCAATTTCTGGTGTCAAAAACAAACAAACAAACAAATAAATAAAAATAAAAAAAAAACAGTGTTTTAAGCCACGAAGTTTGGGGATCATTTGTTACACAACAGGCAACTGATACTGTTATACACCGTCTGGAGACTTACCTGTACACTCATACTGTAGACCTTTCCCATAATAACCCTTTTCACAGATGCATTCAAATTGACCTGTGTGTGTCCCACATTTACAGCTTGCCATTCGGTCACAGCAGTCTTTTCCAGCTTCACAGAGGTATGAGCAGTGGGACATGTCCTCTTGAATGAAACTCCCAGTAGGTAGATCTATCAAAAACATATGACAGGGCAATTAAAAAGTGATTGACAATTGAATTTTACATTCTTTAGTCTCTAAAATTCAAGTGCAAGCTGGAGACAATATCTTTTTCTCATCAGTCTAATCGCTTCCTTGCTCTCTACTCTCACCCAAATATAAATGTGTGTTATTTGCTACCACGCTCTGGGAATTTGTTTCAGCCAGTTAAGTTATTTCAGTTCTGGAACCTCATCATAAGTTCTCAGGGCCACTCAGGGTCAGGAAGAAATTAAGTACTTTGGAGACAAATCTCCAGATGCAGCAGGAAGTAACACAGTCAGTTCCTCAGGTCATCCTCCTGGCTTCCAAACCAGCAGTGTTGCACTGCCTCTGAATGAGGTCAGGGAGCAGTAACCAGATACCCGAGTTCCTTGTTCAAGTTAGAAGTAAAACTGCAATTCTGACTGTTGAATAAGGATGTTGATTGTGAGCTACTGACTTTAGATTAAATTCCATCACTTTGCTATTTGATTAAAGACTTAAAGAACAGCACCCACATAAGCTAAGTGATAAAACCAGGATCTGGTCTGTGTCTCAAATTTAAATACATTGACACATGTTAATGTTAACAGAGACCATTCTGATTACACGAGCCATGCCCACCACCAGCTTGAGCAGAGCAGTTTCAAAAGTGACTTAACAAGGCAGGGAAAGGTTGAATATGACGGGTCAGGAATGGATGCCAGGAATGGGGCAAGCAGTAAGTCCATTTAGATCCAGAGTGTTAGGTCCAGATACAGGGATGGGCCTGTGGCAGGAACTCAAGTGACCGAGTGTCACAAGACACAGAGACTGCGAGTGCATACCTGGGAAAGAGATTGATGATGTGCTCAATGATGGAGTGTCTGTTTCCATGTATAACAAAGTGAATAACAAATAGGGGCGATGTAAAAGGAAGACTTCAGCCCCAAGGGGAAGAGGCCAGAACAAGAAAGAGGCCAGGCACCACATTAAAATCTACCCAGTATACTCTGATGTGGATGAAAAAGACCTATGACAGGGGCCCTGAAGACTTGGTTGTGACACATTGGGTCACAGGTTTATTTTACAGTGAACAACTTAGGAAAGCAGGAAAAACTTAAGTGTCAAGGATGGTCAATGCTGTAGCGTTCAAATCTGGGAGAGAAACAAATGGAAGAATTTTATATGAAATAAAGCTATTATTCTGTAGGCTTATTGAGCATGGCTAGAAACATAGACAATTTCAACATGAAAAGTGGATCTGTCCAAAATAAAAGTAGCTTTAGAGATTATAAAGCCAAGGGAAAGAACTCATGGCCTTTGATCTAATCATGTCTTTCTAATAAAAACAGGGTTTCTTCTTACCAGATATGGGAAATCTACCAAAGTATTATGCATTCTAGATTTTAGTGTAAACAACATACTGGCTTTTAAAGCTGTTGCGTTATAGAATCCAAAACCCTTTCCTTGAAAGCTCCATCCTACTTAGTTTCTGGTTAATTCACACTGACACAAAAGGCACCAGTCTTAGAAGACAGATTGGAGATTCGTCCTCTATAACACTGGTTTCTAACAACACCTATGACCTCATGCCCTCATCTAGTCACAGCCACTGTTTCCAAGTGCAGCTGCCCTATTCTCCCACCTAACACATTGCTTTCCCTGAAGAAAAGGAGAAACAAAGGTCATCACAGTCTCAGGATTCCTGCCATGTGCCAGATACAATAAATAACTAGGTGAAGTTTAAGTATTTTGTTTTAATCCTCTGAAAAAAAATTATGTGGTACATACTATAATATTCTCCATTTTTGATAGGATATAAAATTGAAGCTCACAGTTGTTATATAAATTGCCCAAGATAAAGAATTATTAATTAATCAATATTGATATTTAATAAGTAATAACTAAGACATAATTATAATGGATAGTTTTGGAGCCAGCAGTAACTTTCTAATAACTTTGTATGTACTAATGCATTTATTTCTTATGACAAATCTATGAAGTATGCATTGTCTCATTACCTATATTCTAATAATAAGAAACCTAAGAAGTGTAGAACATAGACACTGTCAAAAACCAGTTAGCCAGCAGGTGACAAAACAGGAATTCAAATCCAGGCACACTAGACTTTTCAGACTTCACCCTTAAAATCTAGACTTCATTAAGTCATAGGCTCAGAATTTAAATACAAACTTCTTTACTTCCAAGCCTATTTTCCTGCTGCTTCTAAACCCTGACCCAATCTTGGCCCATTTCACTGAGATTCTAGTTTCCAAAATCTTTTACCAGTGTCCTCTCTCAGAGAGGTTTTTTTGTTTTGTTTTGTTTAAATAACTACCGCTACAGCCTGAAATTGCACCACAGTAGGCTCGCCTGCTTATTATGAGCATCATTAATTGGCTGGAATCTTGTGTGGCCCTGGTTTTCCCCTGAAATGGGACCTGTATATGGACACCTGCAAGGATCAAGCCTAATTTGCCACTTTGCCAGACACCCTGTCTTCTCTTTGCAGTCTGCATTCTCATCTCCTGGCTCACCAAGACACATGCCCATACGATGACGGGAACGTTCATCTAACTCCTCTTATACAACTGCACATTCTTGTACACGGTGTACAAAGAACTCTAATGAGGGCATTTGCTGATTTTCTTCCCTTTTAGGGCTGACCACAATTAAGCTTATACAAAAACATATTTATCTTCAAATTGTCAGGGCAAGAAATATGTGTTTAATATTCATCGTCCCTATATCTTTATGTGTATTCCTGGAAACATTCTTTTGAGATTCACCGTGCAAGTCTCTGAATGTTTACTTCATCTGTCCAGATAACTGCAAATGAGATCTAAGTCAAGACTTCCTACTCTGTGTGTGGCCTCCAAACACACCTCAGTTCATTCCACTAATGATTCTAATGGTTCTAGGTGGGAGCATATGGATATTCTAGTGAAAATATATCACAGCTGTTAAGAAAGAAAACAAAACAAGTTCTCTTGTTGCAAGTTCAGAATGTCGTCTCTATGAAGTTCAGCACAACTTGTGATAGCCAAAGCGCACATGGGCATCACGCTCAGCAAGAACCTTAGAAGGGTTTGATATAACATCAGGCAGTGAGAGGGAAACCCCACTTAAAGGCACCTTTGTTAGACATTAGGCTCCATTACCTTCATGCAATGCCCGGCGTGCTAAAGCCTCAAATTCTTCAAAACTGTGAAGCAGGTAGCAGTGTTCCTCCTTCGGGGTGGAAGCCATATCATTGAGTTCCCGAATGTTTCCTTGCCATATGCCAAAAGTGAAGATCTCCACACCAAAATCTCTCAGTGATGCTGCAATTGGCCTGGGATCTCCTCCATTGGAATATCCATCAGTGATGAGAAATATAACTTTGGTGGAGTTTTCTCTGGAATGACTAAGAATTTTCTGTAAAGAAACAGGGAGCATCAGTCTGAGATTGCATTATGTTGCTCACTACGTACTCCCTCCTTATGGAAGAGCACACTCGAGAAGATCATTAGCATTTCACATCGTGGAGGAAGGGAAGCCCTGCTCAGTGAGAGTAAAACCAAAACAGACCCAGTCCAGAGTCTACCACGGTCTTCCACAGAAACACAATATACCACAGAAGTTTAAGATGTATCATCATCATCCTCTCTGTGGAGCTCACTGATGAAGAGCAACAAGTGTTTATGGGATGAATTTTTAAATGAATGTTATTATTTATTGTTAGGCTGTCTTTTATTGATTTTTCAGGCTCTCATAATATATCAATCAAATCTGAGTCCTAGTATTTCTCTCTATGTCTACTTTTCTATGCATCCATCTAAACCTCTGTATGATGAACCCTTAAAGCCTAAAGGGAAGAAATTTTAGCAGAGTGTCTTTTCCAGAGTTAATAATGGCTGACCTGCCTCTATATTTGTTTTTCCATTGCTCCTTCAAAAATGTAGAATGGATTCAATACTCCATCTCTTCTGGACCACCCAGTATTAGCATAAAATCCGCTGTTTTTGGCGGTGTCCTATCTTCATGAGAAAACATTGATTCACTAAATCCTACCCTGGGCTTTATTATTTTAGGACAAGTGAATTCTGTTTTACAATATTATATGCTATTCCTTCTCCACAGATGGAAGGGAAAAAAACCCTTTTAAACCGGCATTCTATTTATTGCCACTGTGTTCTGTAACATCAAACCATAAAGGCTGAGAGCTCCAGAGGTGATTCTGGTATTGTTTCCAATTCATCTTTGATGATTTTCATTAGAATTGGGTAGGAAAGGTAAAGAAGTGCCAGGGTGTGTTTTCTGGCAATTGCTTAGAAGGCATTCATGTTTATTAGATAGTAATTCAAGAAACTCTGCATGTTTTCCAGTAGCTAGACAGGAAGAGCAACAATTGTATCCTAAGTTTTATAGAAATTAAAAAAGAGGTACTGTAACTTAACAATAAGTCTGATTCAATTCACTTCAGGGGCCAGACTCACCATAGGATCCAGATTTCCTCAGATTGTACAATTCACATCTGTAGAAAGCAATTTCCTTTTGTATACACTCAATTTTAAGTATTATAATTCAATAAGCCTTACTTGAAATTTCATTTGTGTCTGTGAGTTACAGTTAAAGATGTTAAACTTGAACTTAAAATAAATTAAACAAAAAGTGACTCCAGAAAACATCTGGAAAGCCAGCAGTTTGACAAGAGGTATTCAAACACTTCATCCCGCTCCTTCTATAAAACCAAGTGAGATCCAGGAAACAGCACAGATGGGAACATGGTGAAGATGGGCACAGAGGGCAGTTTGTGTGACAGAATAATGTGCAAGATGTCAAAGGACAGCCCCTCAATATGGAAACAAGGGGCCCAGTCAACAGTTTCACGTCTTATTTTCAGAGTTTAAAAAGATATCTTTTGATGAAGGACAGGATTTGGGATAAATTCTTGATAAGTATGAGATTTTTCTACCCTTGAGACAAGAAATGAATCTCTGAGGACAGGGAGAGTGAAAGAATTAGAGAACAAGGGATGTCAGACATTGCTGTGAGGTCTTGAATTCTCCACCAATTTCTCCAACTCCCAACTCAGTCACAGAAGAAGGGGTGATCACTAAACAACCCCCTAGGCATAGGGATTCATAGGTCCTCTGTCTATTGGGATATTCAGGTACTGGCTGTCCCACAGTAGTGCCCTTGATCATGATGACATGGGACAATGCAGTACAACTTTGTAGGTGTTAAAGGAGAGAGGACCTGATGAGTCCTCCATATTCCTAAAGGGGTATAGAAGGGAGAAAGCCAACACCATATTAAGATCCATGTGTTTGGCAAGGGATGGCGCCATGGACCATGTGAGCCAAAGCCAGATGGAGATGTATCTCTCTCTGGTCACATAAGTATGAAGAGGTCCAAGGAGTCCCAGGGGCACCAAAGGTCTACAAAACTAACCAACAAATGTGCCAATGTCCAATGATGACCGTCATGACCAGTGATGAGACAATTGTACACCATAGAAGACGGAAGTGCAGAACATGTCAGTGCTGAGAGGAGAGCACCCCCTAAGCAGCTCTGCATAAGCGCCAGGGCTTTCACTTGACTTTGGGGAGGAAGAGAAAGAATCCTGAATGTGACTCAGTTTGTAAAAGTATTTGAGAAACTGATTTTTGAACCTTCTTGCAAATATCTAGAGTTTTCGTCATCAGGTGTATTAGAGTTTCAAAGTGTAACATCAGGAAAATAGAGATTTTTTTTTTTAATAAAAATTGTTCAACAACAGATAGTGACATATTTTATCTTTTATACACAACATCTATTCCTGATTGAACCTTGGGATATTTTGAAAGGTAGGTAGAGAATATCTTTTGGAACACTGCTTTCTCACATATTACAAGGAAGAATATCAGGGATGGAAGAGAAAGAGATCACTTTACATAACACCTTTGTGTTAAAGACACTCAAAGATATTCAGAAGTGGTAGGCCCAGAATGTCAAGGGCAAGAACAGCTTCAATGAAGGCCTGGGCTTCTCCCCAAATGTGATTTCCTTGAAGGCAGTTATTTTTATCCATTTTTTTTCAATTCCTCAATATCCAGAATCTAGAGTACTGCCTAACAAAGAGAAAATGGTCAATAAATATCTGTCCATAAAGAGAAACCTATACCTCAGCAGTTTTTCCAGCTGCTGGGTCAAAATCTTGTAATAATCCTTACCTCCTGTATCTTGCTTTAGAAAACTTCCCCCCACAATTTGCTAAGATATTCACTTGTATATTAAATGAATATTTAATTTTTAAAAATTCCTAAATCCACAGTTTTTTTCCCCCTTTGGTATTTATTTTACCTTTATTTTTATTCATCGGGATAAGTAATTTTTGCAAAATGATTTACTGATTTATTCATTTTTTCCTTGGTTGTAGTCTCTCCATTCTGTTTTTTTTTTTTTAACCTACTTGTCTGTTCTCAGCCAATATCACATGTTTTCAGGTGCTATAGCTTTATAGTATTTTTTTTTCATATCTGGTAAAGAAAATACTCATCTTTTTTTTTCTCTCTCTCAAAATGTTTGTGGTTTACCTTAAAATGCTTCTTTTCCAATTGAGCTTGAGAATTGTCTTATAACATTCTTCATTAAAATTTTCCTATCTCATCATTTGACCCAATAACCCACTTCTAGGAATCCATTCCAAAGACACATTGGAACATATCCACAAAAACAGGAGCAAGGACCAGCCTCAGTAGAAAGAAGCATCTTTAAAGCCCTGATGATAGTTCCCAAATGTCCTGCCCACCAGAAGGAGCCAGGAATTCTTGAAGAAATGGTTTATTTCAGGTTCAGGTGAGAAATGGACAACATGAGCTTCAACAGCCTTTCATGACAGAAAGCCAAGAATCTATTAAAAGACTTAATCCAGGGTTGACCAGAGAGGCCAGGAACTAGCCAGAAGAGGCTCCTCTGTATATATGTGTATGTATATATGTATTTACATTTTTAGTTAGTATACATTGGGGTGGGGAGACCTATAATATAAACAACAATCAGAATGAACCTAAATACACACACACACACACACATATATTTGTTTTTTTTTTCATTCAGTACCATCTCTGGGTAAAAGTCCAATGATCTGATATGGAGGACATGAAGTAAGACGTTATTTAATTTGTATTTGAAATTATCCTTTTCCATATTCCAAGGGTAAGTCCCAGTTTTAATACTCTAAGATGTGCAAGCTGTGCTTCTGTGTCCTTGTTCTTGACTAAATGATGAATTCTTTTTCCTTCTAGCTGCTCCACTCAGCAGGCGTAATCTCGCCTCCATGGACATTCTACATTCCTCTTGTGCTTACCGTGAATTACGTCTCTTCTACAAGGTCATGGGAGTTAACAGTCATCAAGACACAAGTGAGACTAATAATGGAAAGGAGAAGAGGGGGGAAATGTAAAATTTCTTTTTAACAAGGTATTTCAGCAATACTGAGAACAAAATCCAGGTTCTTGTGCAGGCTAGGTGAGTACTCTCCCCCTGAGCTACATCCCCAGCTCCTTTCCCTTAAATTTCATTTTGAGACAGTGTCTCACTAAGTTGCTGAAGCTGACTTTGATCTGGCAATCCTCCTGCCTCACCCTGCTGAGTAGCTGGGGTTACAGGCATAGGCTACCATGCCTGGCTTTCAGTATAGTATTCTTGATAGTGTCTGGCAAAGAGTATGTGCTCATAAATATCTATTTTATGAGTGAATTAATGAAAAATGGAGTGCATCAACTCTTAGACACTGAAGAGAGTTAGTTGAGTGAATTGGTCTGCAGAGAATAGTAGTTTACCTTAAAAGAAACATTTTCAGGTAAACCACATTTTAAGGTGAACTACTATTCTGTGTGTGCCTGTGTGTGTGATGTTTCACATAGTTGTATATAAGAAAGGTAAAATTTTCTTTTTGTGCCTTTATTGTCCTTCTGAAATAAATGCTCTCTTGGAATATGAATCTTAGCTCTCAATAACATTCCTTAACATCCAAGTTAGGATTAAACAGAGACTTCTTCCTGTACTATACATTATACACAGAACACTCCAAGCTGTGATTCTATTTTCCTTCCCTTCTTACAGAGAACTGGTAAGTATTTACAGGAACCATTAGATCTGTTGGCAAAACAGATATATTAAGCTTAAAATAGCAAGAAGAATGGCAGGACTAGTAGTTCAAGCAAAGAATTACACAAGATCTGGGTTTGGAATGTTCTTTAAAGATAGGGGAGGGGTGGATGATTTACTGAAAATAATTCACAGTCCCCCCAACTTTGTGCTTCATCATGCTTGAATAAAAACATAATCCAATAAGGACATTTTTTTATACCAAGACTGAAGAAGTAAATGGTTCTGTGGTAATGTCTGTGGAATGGGGTACAAGCTTGGCACTTTTCTTTCCAGTGTTC